AAAAATCTTCGGTTCTAGGCTCTGTGTGGTTCTGGTTTCTGCCGGAGATTTGCTCTGACGCCGCAGGCGCATCCCCGATCGCGGGCCCAGGCCCCGCCACACCCCTGCCCCGACCCATCGCGGCGGCCCCGCGCCCGGAACACATATCGCTGGCGAATCGCCACGCCATCATCGCTATCATCACCATCATCATCATCGTCATCATCATCATCATCATCATCATCATCATCATCATCATCATCATCATCATCATCATCATCATCAACATCGTCATCATCATCATCATCATCATCATCATCATCATCGATGTCATCATCATCACCTAAAAATCATCAGCAGCAGCAACACCATAATCACCATCATCATTCTCACCTTTCCACGATCATCACCACCCAACAATGACAGTGGCATGGTTTTCCCGCGATGGTGGTGGAAACGCAACCAATGGTGTCGCTATGCGTCGCCACCATCGCCATCGCCATCACGCCTTGTCACCAGCATCGTCTCCGCGCGTGGTAGCCAACTCGTGGGCGCATCACCCGCATCGGCACCATCACAATTATCGTAGATGTGGTCAGTTCGTTCTTCTCACCCACAACCTCCTCATCGCCCAAAAAACTAGTACGGCGGTACGCCTGATATTCGTTATTGTTTTCCTCGCGGTGCTCGTCTGCGTCGCTTGCGCTCTGCGGTGTGATGTACCTGACATTCTGCTGGCTCGGCGGTTGTTCCGTCATGTCGTCACCCGCCGTATTGGCGTGGCCATAGATGCGCCGAAAAATGACCGTTATTGCGGTGGCATCCTGAAGAAGAAGGACTGACGATATACTGTGGCCCGTCGTCGACGACGCTGATAATGAATGCGACTCAAGCCACTCCCACACCCACCACATCACATTTTATAGTGTGAGAACCTCTCTATAGAGCTTGAGGCCCGACGAGCGTCGTAGGCTGCATGTGCCCCAAGAGAGGCCTCTAGCAACTTGCGAAACATGCAACCGCCGAGGGCCAGGAACAAAAACAGTATATAAAACCATACACGTGTTGAATAAGCACCCACATGTTTTTAATAAAGTATGCTGCGCACGAGATTGCCAGGGGCCTTGTTCAAATCGCGCCATCGCGCACGTGAAGGAGCGCAATTCTATAAACGCATTTAAACAACACGCGAGAACTGTCTTACAGAGTAAAACATTATGGACATCTTTGCAATGCCGGAAACGTCACGATTCGCAATCGTCGATGCGGGGGTGCATCGACTCAGTCCACAAGCGTTCAAAAACAAATTGAAAATCATCCTGGTGGGTTTTGGGGTGCGTTGTTCTCTCTCGAGAAAATGCGTCACATCTTTCGGCTATCGGAAGCCTCGGGACACGAGGCGTCACACGCTACGGCCTCCTGTGCGCCCCCCAAACAACCGCCGCGGAAGGTTATGAGCTGACAAGGTGGCGGCACTTCCCGAAGAGCCACTCGAATCCTCTACCTTCCTAAAGCCCTGAGCCCTAGCCCTAACCATACGCACTAAGCCTGATCCGACGCCCCAGACCTGATCCCTGACTCGCTAAGCCTAGCCCCAGGAACCCTTGTCATCAACCCTAAGCGCTGACACCCTAAACCTAGCCCCCCAAACCCAAACCCTAAACACTACCTCCAGCCCTACACCGCAACCCTCTCCCGCGCACCGGAGCGCGCCCCGTTCCGCCAAAGTCGCGGCCAAAGAGGTGGAGAGGGGAGGTGTAACCTCTCCTTCGCCGGCGCAACGGGGGATGGGGGGGAGAGGGGTGGCGTAAAAACAAACCCTCGTGAAGGGGTTCTGCGAAGATGACCGGGGCAAAGACTGGCACACCCTGGAAATCTCGACGGAAAATGGATTGACTAAACATCCAGGACCCCTTTCCTCCAGCACCCATGTCCTTCGTGCTAAGCTGGCGCCAAGCCCGAGCCTGGGGGGGGTCTGCCAATGTCGGCCTCTTGGGCTGTTCGTGTGTTTCCTGTCTGCGGACTGCTTCCACGTCAGGGATCTCACCAGCCCTCTGGGCGTGAGTGGTTTACGGGTTTCCTCTTCCATCTTCCCTCCTCCCCCTGGACCTGGACGGGAGATTTCGTGAGGGGTTAGAGCGTCCGAGATGGACTCGGGGAAGAGGCCAACTTCATTGATTGTACTAAGTTGCTTGGAGCGCTAATTGACTGCGGTCCCTCCTTCGATCTATCTCCTATGAGATGGCCCCGAGATGGCCCTCGAGGCTCCCAAGGGTGCCCAAGACGGCCCCAAGAGGTGCTCAGGAGGCCCAAGAAGCCTCCAAGAGGCCCCTAAGATGCCCCCAAGAGGCTCCCAAGAGACCCCAAAGAGGCCCCCCAGAGTCACCCAAGACGCCTCAAGATGCCCCCGGGTCTGTCAATAGACCCCCAAGACGCCCCAAGAAAACTCCAAAAACATCTCTGTAACAAATCCTGAGAGACTCCGATTGGCATCCAAGAGGTCTAAACCTAGCCCCCCAAACCCAAACCCTAAACACTACCTCCAGCCCTACACCGCAACCCTCTCCCGCGCACCGGAGCGCGCCCCGTTCCGCCAAAGTCGCGGCCAAAGAGGTGGAGAGGGGAGGTGTAACCTCTCCTTCGCCGGCGCAACGGGGGATGGGGGGGAGAGGGGTGGCGTAAAAACAAACCCTCGTGAAGGGGTTCTGCGAAGATGACCGGGGCAAAGACTGGCACACCCTGGAAATCTCGACGGAAAATGGATTGACTAAACATCCAGGACCCCTTTCCTCCAGCACCCATGTCCTTCGTGCTAAGCTGGCGCCAAGCCCGAGCCTGGGGGGGGGTCTGCCAATGTCGGCCTCTTGGGCTGTTCGTGTGTTTCCTGTCTGCGGACTGCTTCGACGTCAGGGATCTCACCAGCCCTCTGAGCGTGAGTGGTTTACGGGTTTCCTCTTCCATCTTCCCTCCTCCCCCTGGACCTGGCCGGGAGATTTCGTGAGGGGTTAGAGCGTCCAAGATGGACTCGGCGAAGAGGCCAACTTCATTGATTGTACTAAGTTGCTTGGAGCGCTAATTGACTGCGGTCCCTCCTTCGATCTATCTCCTATGAGATGGCCCCGAGATGGCCCTCGAGGCTCCCAAGGGTGCCCAAGACGGTCCCAAGAGGTGCTCAGGAGGCCCAAGAAGCCTCCATAAGGCCCCTAAGATGCCCCCAAGAGGCTCCCAAGAGACCCCAAAGAAGCCCCCCAGAGTCACCCAAGACGCCTCAAGATGCCCCCGGGTCTGTCAATAGACCCCCAAGACGCCCCAAGAAAACTCCCAAAACATCTCTGTAACAAATCCTAAGAGACTCCGATTGGCATCCAGGAAGTATCTGGCATGTCTGTTCGCCCTACTCCTCCTCCTCCTCGTCCTCCTCCTCCTCTTTCTCATCCGCTTATGTCTCCTCCTTCCTCCTCCGTTCTCCCCCTCCCCCTCTCCCTACTCCTCCTCCTCCTCCTCCTCCTCCTCCTCCACCTGCTCCATTCTCCTCATCCTTGGGTATGACGTCTTACACGGCCCTTTCTTCCACTGCATGCCCCTCAACATCCCCGATAAAGCAACTCGCCTGGGCATCGTTTCTGGATGGGCTGCCGACTGGAGAGCTACGCGGAGCGTCTAGAATTTTTAATGGGACTTGTTGGGACAAATTGTGAACTGTCCAAAGGCGCCCACAAATAACGCGGGGCCGTAAAGAATTGCGCAATGGGCCACTGAGGGTCATGTTGGGCCGGGTGGACGCCATACGCGCGGAAAACGTCGATGACAAGTGGGGCTGGAATCCCGACGAGCTGCTTCCGTCGCCACTGTTGTTGATGTCCACTTCCTACCTTGCGGGGCAGACGACTAGTCTCCAGGAAATCTGCGGGGAGAAAGCCATCTACACCGATGCAAATCGATGCGCCTGTTCGCACATCAAAATGTGTACTCCGAGTTTCTTATTAAGCGTCGGGAGGGCGTCACACCCGCCGACAGCCCCGCATCGACCCCTGTCGCGGGCAGCCACCGCACGCCGAAGGCGCTCCGACCCCCGTCGCGGCGCGACGACGAGGCGAGGTTGACCCCCGTCGTGGAGTACCCCCTCACGCTTATTAAGCAACCCAGAGTACAGAGATGCACATCAAGCAAGATGCGTCGAGAAAGGCAGGACAAGACGTGGAAGATCCAGCGCGAGTCAAGCTACTGACGAGCCCTGCCGCTCCCCTGACGAGCCGAGCCCCTGACGAGCCCCTGCCGCTCCCCTGCCCTGGCCCCTCCCTCCCCCCCCCGCCCCCCCTCCCCTCCCCTACGTCCTGCGGCTTCCTCCTCCTCCTCCTCCTCCTCCTCCTCTCCTCCTCCCTCCTCCCCCCGCCCTCGCCTCCTCCTCTCCTCCTCCTCCTCCTCCTCCTCCTCCTCCTCCTCCTCCTCCTCCTCCTCCCCCTCCTCCTCCTCCTCCCCCCGCCCTCGCCTCGTCTCCCGCCCTCGACCCCCCGCGGGGCCCGGACACCTCTTCCCTGAGTATGTCCCGCCGTCGGGCAGACAGTTGGACGGCTCCTGCTGGAATTCCTTCAGCAGTGGGACCTCCTCGGCGTTCGGGTAGAACTCGAGGATCCTTTGCAGATTCTCGATCGCCACGGCCTTCTCGTCGAGCTCCACCAAGCATGCTTTCACCTCAACGTGGGCAAGTCAGATTCCGCCTTCTGCTCCTGTTCCTGTTGCTCCTGTGTCTGCCGTCCTCCCAATGCTACTCTTTTCGTTCGCGCAACCGCTGATGTGAGTTGCGTTGTTGCTGGTCTGTTGAACGTATAAATACATACATACATACATACATACATACATACATACATACATACATACATACATACATGCATACATACATACATCTATATACATATACACATGCCACATCGGTCATTGAGGTGACATGTGGGTCATATTGGATTCAATGCAGCGTCTGTGGTATGACCTGGGCGGTGCCGACATGACCGCTGTTCTTCGTTCCCAGAAACGCCCTGGATGTATACCACCGCCGATTCGGTGGTTCAGATTTGGCCCAACGTGACACAAACCACTATTGCAGTTGTTGGTTTCCCTCTTCGGCGCAAGGTTATGTTGTCCAGATTCATCTTGAGCATTTCTGGCGCCATTTGGGTCAGATCGACCCCAGTAGGCTTTGGCATGACCCAGTTGGTACCAACATGCCCATGCTGCGCTGTAGCGAGGAGCAAAGAAGTTCGGGCTTCACTGAATTCATTCAGACTTCGCTAAGACGCAACAGCGTGAACATGACCGAAACGTAATGGTCTCACAAACACGCGTTCTGGCGAGCACCACTAGGACCGTTCGCATCAAATGTGCCTAACATTGCTACGATGTGGATACAATTTGGCCCATGTCCAACACGGTCTTTGCTGCTCCACTCACCGGAACAACACGGCTGGTTGAGTACCGGGTCCAGAATAACCCATGCATTTTGGTGAACAAACAACTCGCGGGTGCATGTAACCTAAGATTCAGTCCATTACATCGTTATTTGGGTCATACCGCCGTTCGGCAGGTTGCGTCATTACCAAAGTGTTGATATCAGTGGACGAGGCGCAGTGGTTGTTTTTCTAGGCGTCGGGGCGTTGGGGAAGGATACATTGAAGGACACGACTACGATCGATATCTTTCGACAAAGCGGCGGGTGTACTTCTGGCAAATTCCAATAGGAGGGTGAAGGGATCAGAGAGGGGGATGACTAGAGAGGGGGGTGAAGGGTGAAAACTCTCGCGGTCGAGTTCGTTCGCGAAGTCTGCAAGTTTTCCATTGCGTGCTTTTTGCACGCGACTGTTGTATCTCGAGAAATCCTGCAACTTCGTGACAGCGCGTTGCTGTGGCTCTCGTTGTGTCCCCCCACTTCAGATAGTCACCCACTTGCCATGCTCTGAAAGAGGGTTCCGCGCTAGAGTTTGGGGTGCAACGGCGGGAAGGAGGGGAGATGTGGGAAAGGGGGGAGGGGGTCGTGGCATTCCGTTCACGTGGCTATTCTGCTCTGCAAGTTTCCGTCAGTGCCAACCAGCCAATCCACTCCCGAACAAGGAGGGGTTATAATTTCCCAGGGAGAATAGGCGATGGGGAAGGATGAGGACGGGAAGTGGGATGGGATGATAGATAGGCAGCAGGGGAAGATACGGAGGACAGTTGGGGAAAGAGGGGAGGGGAAGGAGGACAGGGATGGGCTAGCATAAGACACAGGACGAATACTACGAACAAATTAGGAGGTATGAAGAGGCGGGGAGGCGAATTAGCAACCAGAAGGTAAAGAGAATGGTGTACGGAAGAAGGAGGGAGAAGGGAGGATGGCGAGGATTCGAGGAAGGAGAGAGACGTATGTTGTAGGCGAGGACTTTTACGCTTGGCTCCGCCACGCCAGAGCAGAGGAGGATGACAGAATCGGCCCGCACGTGTTCAAGACGACAAAAGCAGCATCCAACAGTCACGTGCACGGATACGAAGCAACATCCATTCAACATTTACGTATCGAATGCTGTATCGCATTCGACCTCATGCTCGTCACCATTTTTTCGACAATCTGGACGAACGCAAAGTGTCGTACCGTGATCTTGGTGCGTATCCATTGGCAAACATACATGATTAAACGTTAGCTCAATGTGATCACGAATTGTGCATCCACAACAGCATGCACATGATCTTGGACTGCTGGACGTGCTTGGACGACCGTTGAAAAGCCAGCCTTTCACTTACAGTTGTGGACACCTCTATCGAGTTCCAAACGATAGGGCTGCAGCAAAAGACATGGTACGACCAACGGGTTGTTGAAGGAAATTGTTGCAACGCGTGCATTCCTGTGCCTTCAGGAACGCTGCCCGCGCAGAGCCCGTTCAGAACTATCGTTCGATCTCTCTGCGTTCACTTGGATGCTAAATCGTGTCTTCACACACCACAGGCTACTTCAAGGGGTGGTCGAACACACGCGCAACTCGTAAGATGGATTCTGGCTGGGGCTTGGCACCGCAGACGCCTTCATGCTTGTGAGGCGTATGATGAATGCCGCGCGCGTCAATGATAGTTGTGGGGTCACGGCTTTAATGTTGGAATTGGCAAACACATTCGGCAAGATCAAACCAACGCTTGTGTGTAATGTTTCCGGCACTGTAATTGGATGTATGTACACATCTACACATGTGTATACATATGTATACATATACAGATGAATGTCTTTCAATTTGCCAAACGAGGAAAAAACACCCGGACCCGACATTTAGCGTTTTTTTGCGGCCTTGGGCGTCTACTAAACAACCCTCCTCTTGTTGATTGCTTCTTTGGATGCGTTTACTAAACGGCTTCGCATGCCGGGGTGATTATGATGAGGGGGGATGTTCTGTTCTCTAATTTGATCAAGCCGTTCAGCATCATGGTCCGTCGTTGACAGACATTGCCAGACCAAATGAAAATACATCGAAACCGCGCGCGACGCAGTATACCCAGGATACCTGGTGTCATTTGATGGTGAGAGTACAATTGGGGGGGGGGGGGGCAGCAAACACAATCGAGCAATTTGGCCAGCTGCGGTCGAACGTTTACTTTGGGTGGACATGGAATCACACGACCTACGACAGCGTGGTGGTTGAGCAACCTGTGTTACTACTCTCTGGGCCCATTCTGGTTGCTCGAGGCTGGTCGCGCCTTGTTCGACGCCTTGACTTGCAGGAGTACGAGGCAGATGTTGGCCACGCGTTTGGCCTATATCTGTAATGGGTTGGTAATGCGATCGTCCTTCAAAACATGAGTGCCACCGACCGCTGTTGCAAATGCTTCTTGCGAACCTCGAGAAGCTGACCGGCAACATGCGCATTTATGACGCAGGGTAACGTGTAAAACGTGTGTTACTAAATGCAAGCGGGTCCTTAAGAAATCGGCCTACGCGCCGCAAGTGGGGGGGGGGGCGGCTCCATCAGTAATGGGCGTCGTCTGTGCATAAGCTTGCCCATCGCGTGTGTAGACTACTGTCGTACCGTTTCTGTGGTTCCCCCCTGTGATTTCCGCCTCCCGCTCACAGAAGCTCCCGAACAGGTCCCCAATGCGAAGGCAGGTCCGAAGCTGAAATTGTGAGCTGAACAGGTCCCCAAGAAATGCCCCGGCATCTCACGGGATCAGGCGAGCCTACTGTTATGTCGGGCCTGTCCCCCTACAGGGGGATCTTCGACGAAAAATAAAAAATACACCAAAAAGGTAAAAACAATAAAAAATACACCAAAAATAGTCCCTGACTATTTTGGGGCTATTTTTTCACTTTTTTGGGATGTTTTTTATTTCTCGTCGAAAATCCCCCTGTAGGGGGACAGGCCCGACTGAAACCTACTGCCCCTGGAGCTCGAGTGCGGTTCCTCCCCGACTGGCCGCCGCCTCTTCTCGTGGGCTGCCGGTGCTGCCGCCCGTGGTGCCCGCGCGTCCCTCTGGATGCACGGGGCTGTGCCGTCGCAGCACGGCACAGATGAAAGGGGCCTTGGGACACACAAATAAATACACACAAACGAAAAGATTCCCTATATTTTCCTATATTTTCTGGGCTTTTGTCTTCCCGTCCAATTCCCATATTTTCCCATATCTTCTGGGAATCGCCGATTCATTGTGTCTGTGTGTTTGTTCCCCTCCTGAACACAGAGGGGGGAGGGAGGGGGGGGAGGGGGCCAAGGGGACAGGGAGGAACACGAGGAGGTGAGCGACAGAGGCTGAGGAGGGGGGAGGAGGGAGGAGTGAGAGAGGGCAGAAAACACAGCGAGGGCGTGAACGACTACACACACACACATCTATATATATATATATATACATACATATAGGTTTACATATATATATATATATATATATATATATATATATATATATACGTACACCTGAGAATCCTCCATCGACCTGGGAGGGGTGCCGGCCGCCCGCCTGGTCCAGCTTGACGCCGGCGCCGTTCAGGAAGATCTCCACCGCCTCTCCCCCAAAATCGGGTGCGGGGGCAAGAGCTGCATCCAGAGCCTCTGGAGACGTGTGAAGAGCCTGGGCTCTCAAGGCGAAGTCGGCGAATCCATGCTTCTGCTATCACTTAGGGGACGGCGAAGACGGACAGCGGGCCCTTGGACCTGGAGGCTGCAGTGCCAGCTCGGCCACAAGAAACCTGCCACAAGAAGCCCACCCCTGAGACCCCAGGGCGCCTATTGATTTCTGATGTGGGGAAATCACGCCTTCCACGGCAAAACAATCGGAACCCAAGAAACCCAAGGCACCCTGGAGGCAAGCAGGGTGTCTCTTGGCATGGGTTTCCGCTGTCTTCATTGCGTCTAAAAGTTTTGGGCACCCCTCCCTAGAAACCAGAGTCGCAGTGGGCATGGATATGGGTAAGCATGTGTCCCCTAGAGATTAGATTATATTCATATCCACGGCGCCTGGGCCTTTCGGCGCCCCTTCCCAGAAAGTCCAAGACGCAATGGATACGTATATGAATCTTGCCCGCACGGGGGCCGCGCCGTCTAGCATAAATGACACGGGCCCTCTGAGGACGGACGCGCTTCCCTCAAGACCCAAGGCCATCCACGGCGGCAACACAACCCAGAACGAACCAGCAGCGAAACCGAAACCGACAGGCCACCAGCTGCCCGAAGGGCGCAGCGACGCCGCAAGGGCGCACCAGCCGACCGGAGCCGAGCCGACCGAACGCGACCGACTGCGACGCATCCGACCGAACCGCGGACACCATTGTTCATACTCAGACTCCTGTCGCAATATAGTTCTCGAAGAAAGCGAAACCTTGGTGCCCGCCCCCGAGGCAGGCCTCAACATCTCGCTCCTTGGAGGGGGTCTGAGCCGGATGGGCCCTGAGAAAATGTGTCAAGAAGGGGGGTGAACAACTCCGCTCAAAATCGGTCCCCAGACCCCTCACAGGGGTCCATCTGGTGCAACTGTTCACCCTGGATCGGTTTTTGACGGCCCCCGGGCCTGAAAGCAGCACCCAGAGACAGAAAAAGGCAAACAACCACAAACAATCCGCCAAACCTGCGTAATCCTATGAGAAACACTGTCGTAGTCGTAGTCGTCGTCGTCGTCGTCGTCGTCGTCGTCGTCGTCGCCGTCGTCGTCGTCGTCGTCGTCTTCGTCGTCGTCGTCGTCGTCGTCGTCGTCGTCGTCGTCGTCGTCGTCGTCGTCGTCGTCGTCGTCGTCTCTGGGTCCTCCTTCTCCAGCGCGCCAGCCACACCGAAACCGAACTGACACCTTAAGCACGCCAGCCAAAGCGAAACCAAACCCATCTTGAGCAACGTCGCCATTGACTCGAAAGGAAGCCCCTTCCCGTTGATCCCTTCCCCCCCCAAAGGGGGAGGGGCCCGGGGTCCCGGGGTCCGGGTGGGTGGGTGGATGTTGGGGTCCGGGGGGGGGGGTCCCGGGTCAGAATGCCTTCCCCCGTGAGGGCCCCGAATCGCCGGAAGGATCGGTCCAAGACGCCAAAGATGGCCTCCCCACAGCCCAAGCGGCTGCCGAGACGCTCGAAGAGGCATCCGAGAACACACCAGAGGGCCTCAAACAAGCAAAATTTGAAGATTCTCCCAAGGTTTCTGATACATGCTGCGGTTCTCACCTTCTCGGCTTCCCGACGCTCCAAGACGGCCCAAGATATCACCAAGATTGGCACAAGAGGCCCCCAAGACGGCCCTAAAGGCCACCCAGACTGCCCCAGAAGCCCTCACACGGCTTTAGGAGGGTGCCCACACGGGCCCCCACGAAACGCCAAGAGGCCCCAATGAGACCTACAGGAAGCCCGAAGAGACCTCCAATCGGGCTGGGCGAAAGGGGGGGATAGCAAAGGGGGGGTTTGAGAATCAGCTCACGTAGCTGATTTTCCCGGCGCCGCCCGGCGCCGGAGGCGGCCATGTATCGAGGAATGGGCCCCTTGGTGGGGCCGAAACCAGCTACATGCAGCAAATTTCGTAACCCCCCTTTCCCTGTCCCCCCCTTTCGTCCGGCCCGATCTGCGGATGAGGAGGAGGAGGAGGAGGAGGAGGAGGAGGAGGAGGAGGGGGAGGAGGAGGAAGAGGAGGAGGGGGAGGAGGAGGAGGAGGAGGAGGAGGAGGAGCCCGATCCAAGCGGCTCCCAGGAGGCCCCCTAGATGCTCCCCAGAGACCCCCAAACTGCACCCCGGAGGCCTGCGGGCGCGCTCCGGCGAGGCCCAGCGGAGCATCCCTGAGGACTCTGCCCCACGTCAGCGTCGTTGCCGCCGCCGCCGCCGCCGCCGCTGCCGCCGCCGCCGCCGCCGCCGTCGTCGTCGTCGTCGTCGTCGTCGTCGTCGTCGTCGTCGTCGTCGTCGTCGTCGTCGTCGTCGTCGTCGTCGTCGTCGTCGCGGCCGTCTTCGTCGTCGTCCCCCTTCAGGGTCGGCCGCACTGGCCGTAGGGCCTCCCCAATGAACCCCCGAACTAACAGGAGCACAAACCCTAGCTCTACGCAGCCCAACACCTCGAATCTTTTCCCCCCCTTCCTACTCGCCAGAAACTGGTGCTGGGCCAAAACCAGGTGCTCCGCCTTGCCTGAAGGGGCCCGAGGACACACACACACACATAAATACACACAAATAAAAATATGTCCCATACCTTCCCACATGTTCTGGCTTTCTGTCTTTCCCCCCCACTTCCCATATCTCCCCATCTTTTCTGAGGAATCGGGCATTCACTGTGTCTGTGTGTTTTTCCCTCTCTCTGATTGCCGTCGGCCCGAGGCCGGCCCGAACCTCGCGCTCCTCGGAGCTCCCCCCGCCAGACTCGGGGGGGGGCATCGCGCCGCCGAGCGCGCCAACCCCGACCACCCGCGAAGCGCCCTCGAGCGCATACAGTCGGGGCGTTGACCTAAGGAACCCTAAATAAGGAACGAGGCCCCTTTTTTCCCAGAAGTTACACTTTGATCTCCCATGGGAAACCTCATGAAAACCTAAGGCAAGCTGTAGAACAATCAAGGAACACCGAGCCCTTCCCCAACGAAGAGGGTTCCTTCTTCAGCGCCCCGACTGTAGGGGCCCTCCAGAGACGCTCAGTGCGAGGCGGGAGTTCTACAACATATCGCGGGGGTACGCGTCGCCGCCGCCGCCGTCTCTCAGGGAGGGGGAGGAAGAGGAGGAGGAGGAGGAAGAGGAGGAGGAGGAGGAGGTGGAGGTCCTCCTCTTCCACCTCATTCTGCGAGACGGAACTCCCTCAAAGAAAACGCCCTCTAATGAAAATTTCAAGGGGCACTCTACGTGCGCACAGCACCGCATTCCTGGCCAGAATATCGAATCGACGTCCAACGGCCCCCTTGTGGGGCCACCAGGCTGTAGGCCGAAGCTTCGCAGTTTCCTGTACCAGTTGCAGCTTCCAGTTTCCACTGTTACAGTTCTGCTTCTTGCTGTTTACTGTTCCTTGTTGATGGACCGCGCGAGGGGGGCAGGCCCAAAACGAGCATTTTTACCACGCCCTGAGCGTGTGCTCTGAATTGCTGGGGTGGGTCAACATTGACACCCCTCACGCAGATCGGCGGGGTCAGGGTGCAAAAGCACAGCGGATTTGCCACATTTCTGAAATTCGGTGGCACCCCTCACGCAGATCGGCAGGGTCAGCGCTCAAAAACACAAGGGATCGGCGACATTTCTAAAATTCGGTGGCCCCTCACTTAGATCGGCAGGGTCAGGGTCCAACAACACATTGGATTTGCCACATGTCTGAAATTCGGCGGCACCCCTCACGCAGATCCGTAGGGTCAGGGTCTAAAAAACACAGACGGATTTGCCACATGTCTGAAATTCGGTGGCACCCGTGACTCAGAACCGTAAGGTCAGGGTCGAAAAACAAACAGGTCCCGACACTGCTTCACGGCGGCGCCCAGACCTCATGATTTAGCTTTTGCATCTCCCATTGTCCGAGACAAGGGGCCGGCGGCATGGGGCGAAGCCCTTACGGAGAGAGAGAGAGAGAGATACATATATATATATATACACATATACACACGGCTGAACGCACGTCGAATAGCGAAACCGACTGGGGACTGCATCGGTAAACTCGAATGCCGATGCGGAGGGAACCTGTGCGGCTTTCCTCAGCCGACTTGTCTGGGGGGGGCGTTCTGTCAACCGCCAAATGTCCGCATTCTGGAGAAACGATATCCAAAAACCCAAGAGGGCGGCGGACATGAAAACATTGCAGCCTGCGAGGAGCAACATGTACAGATGAACAGCCTCCTTAGGTCCTGGGTGATTGGACAAGTTCCCGCCTCGCAGTGTGGCGACATGCCCAGATCCCCACCCAGAACGCACACAGAAAATGCGTCGTCTGGCCATGTCCTCCCGATGAAACGGTCCCGAAGTCTCCAGAGCGGGTTTGTCCTCGGTCCATGCTGCTCCGACCTTGCGTGAGGCGCCAGCCGCCTGGCTTCGCTTGCTGTCCAGGCAAGTCGCCACCGTCTTCTTCTTCGCACTGGGCTTAGCCTCCTTGGCGGTGTCCACCTGCCCCATCTAACTGTCAACGCATGTACACAAAACGCCGCTTCTTCTCCCACAATGAATTTCTGGCCTCTCTCTCTATCTCGCTCTCTCTCTCTCTCTTTTTGTTCCTCTCTTTCTGTCTCACGCAATCCATATCTGCATGTCTGCCTGCCTCTCCCTCTCTCTCTCTCTGTCTCTCTCCCCACGTCTCTGGCTGAACCTCGACGACCAACACCACATTCACCACCATCACATACGTCACACATATCCTGCGTACTTTGAGCGCGCTCGGTATATGCCCTTGCGGTTCAGACTCGTTTCTCACGTGCGTCCCTCGTCAATGCATCATTGCGGTGGGAATTTGCCTCTTCCTCTAACGACGCACTTGGGCGCCCGAACTATCCAGGGTAACTCGGGTCCGGGGTAAGTCGGGTTCGGAATCCCGAAAAACGAACCCGAGTTAGCCCTGACCCGAGTTACGCCTGATGATTCGGGGCTCTGACGCACCGTTCCCCACAAGGCCGGTGTTCACTAGAGCTCTGGCGATGTTGTAACGCGGTGCCCACGAAGACTTACGACACATGGATCCGCCACGACAAAGCAAACACATGCTGCTGGTTCGCCACGTGCCTCGTCTCCTGAGAAAGCGGACTACCACGTGAAGTATCCCCGCAACGACCACGAACCGATCTCATGGACCCGGGTTCTTTTTTATGGACTAACGCGCGCGCAAGATGCATCCCGGCGGTGCTCAACTGGAACTCCCGCGTAACCACCTGGGCAACCAATGCCGCATCGCCTGCAGTGAACTCGTCAACCGTATCTCCTCTCCACCACCACCACCACCACCAAGACCACTTCAGCCACAACACGTCGCAACTAACCGCCACCAGACAATCACAACTAGTCACTACCGTCCACTCAGAGTCACCATCGCAACCACTCACCTCTAGTTGGCAACACGCAGGGGGGGGGACGTACACATCTGCAACATGAGGCAATATCAACGGGCCTATCGAGGACAGGCGAACATTTAAAAATGCGCTGTGCCCCTTCAGCGACCTACATGGAGACACGAAGCATTGGGCACCAGTGAAGCGATATGAAGCGGCGCCGAAAGACAGTAGTTTGTAAGTGTGGTACGTCACCCAGCTGCCCTCGAAGAAGTTCACGACGGTTGCAGCACTTGCGCTGTGAGCGACACCCACGAAGAACAATCTCGGATGGATCCGTTTGGCACGGCACTCCGCTGGACCTCCCGCTTGCTCGGAGCAGCGGCGGCCGCCTCGCAGCTGGCTGCGCCCGTGGGGCAGGAGATCTCGAAGGGCTCCGTTGAGCACCGCGCTGCGCTGGCTCTCCCGGGGGCGCACGACAGCGGCGAGAATCTGCAGCCGCAGATCATGCCCAGCCTGGGCACGCAGGGCGCCGCGCTGCGCTGACCTCCCGAGAGCCCATGACAGTGCCGTCGGTTGCGCGGCTGGCAAGGCACCAAAAGGAGACGTCCAGCCTGGTTCTATCCAACAGCGCACTCCGCAGTGCCTCACGACAGCTGCGGCAGATGCGCTGCTGGCAGCGCCCAGAGGGGGGGAGGTCTACGCAGGCTCCGTTTGGTATCGCACCCCGCTGGACCTCAGCCCACGAACGTGGACGGAGGTGCGTAGTTGGTACCACACGGGCAGCGCGAGGTCTCGTTTGAATCTCCGTACGAGTTGACCACAATCCGCTGAACCTCCAAGGACCGCATCATAATTGCCACACGAGCGCAACTTGAAGCGCCTGCGAAGCGCGAGGTGTAGCTTGGAGCCCATTTGACAACACACCTCTCGACCTCCCAGGCATCCACAGAAGCATCGGCACATCTGCAATTGGCAGCCCCCCAACGTGAATGAGAAAGAGGGGTGGACCTATTGGCCGGTGTTCAGCGACGAGGCAGCAAGGAGGAAACGAATGTACAGGAGGCAAAAAGCATGGATAGGGTATGAATTGCCCCAGCGCCAACGCCAGGCTGGGCTAAGAAGAATCGCTCATTCGACACGTTGGCCCCCACTACGTCCACGTAGAGAACCTGTCGTGGCAATCAAGGGCTGGAGCCGTGGAGTATTGACGTCGCTATGAACACACGCGCGAAAGAGGCACATGCGAAGTGGCCTCATAGACCCGCACGCGCAGTCAAACTGCCCAATGACCATGCGCAATGCGTAACAGTGCAAGGATGAAACCAACAAGTGTAAAGGGGCCATGGGACACACAAATAAATACACACACAAATAGCAGAGTTCCCAATATTTTCTGGGATTTTCGGGGTTTTTGTCTTCCCCCCCACTTCCCCTAGTTTCCCACAGTTTATGGGGAATCGACGATTAATTGTGTCTGTGTGTTTTTTCTCCTCCTGAAAGTGGGCAACACGCCGCACAAAGTTGGCCCAGGCCGAGAGGCGCGGGGAGCACGGCCGAGCCGAACTCAGGGTCATACCGCAAGTCACAGACGGACCCCTGCTGGCTGTCTCTGCGGGTGCAATGCCATGAGGGCGACCCGTCTCCTCCTCCTCCTCCTCCTCCTCCTCTTCTTCCTCCTCCTCCTCCTTGACATTGGGTTCAAGCTTCCACTGGCCTTATCAGGTCAGGCTTCCTGGTCTTGGGCCCAACTGACGCTTGGCATCTGACGCACGGGGTATTATCAACCAGGAACGAGCAACCCGGGCTCAGCCCTGAATGTACCCCACACAACGGCGACAGCACAGTGCCACAGGAGGCGAAGACGCGCCCCGAACGCTTGCGTACCAATGCCTGGAAGAACGATGATCACAAGCAACAGTGCGCACTTATTACAGTTCAAGGCGAGGCCGATGGCGCGGTCGAGCCAGAGGAGGAGACACCACGTGTCAGAAAACGACCGTAGGACATGCATTCTGCCAGAGAAGACAATCGCCAGCACGCGCAAGACAGAGCGAGACATGCACGGGGGGCGAATACTGCGACCAACCAAGGACAGGATCCGCGCGGAGGCACAACAAGGCCATCGAACTCAGAACAACTGTTCGAAACGACCGCCCCCGAGCGGTACAATACAGCATCCGGTTCAACTTGGAAACGACATGGGCGACCTGCATACAAGAGGGGGGCTGAGCCGCGCAGGTAGTGGGGGCGAAGGGGAAGCCGCACCGAAGTCAGCCGACAGAAACCCTGCACTGTCATGCCCCAGGAACAAATCTTGCAAAACTGCGAACCCCAACTCTCGGCTCGCACAACGCTTACGCGCGTCAACCTACGCTTGGTGCAATTCTGGAATGGACAACAAAACGGCACGGGAGAGCGCTGAGAAGCCGGCAGAACTTGACAGACCAAATCTTGACGCCGGCACTCGCCATGGACAATGGCCGAACGCACGAACAACAACTTACTATGTTCCATGCCCCGTCCACATCCCTTTCGCCTTTGGGTAGCCGCGCTATGGGTAGCTTCCCCATATCTGCAGGCTGCCGCTGGATCTCGCCATTCACGGTGGAATCCATAGCGCGACATGGCGCCAAGGCGCCAGCGCACAAAAGGAACCCCATCTGGACCAGGCATCGAATTTCTGAATGTGTTGATGCGCGCGTAAGAATTATCATATCCCACGTGCCACGAATGGCAAAATGTCCAGGACCATCCCGAGCAATGGCCGCGGGATATAACCCCACTGTTCCGCTCGTCAGGAACAACCGAGAAAACCTTTCCCCAAGAACATCCATCGCAACCCGACCGTTACACTGCTGATGCAAGCAACAATGACACCACACGTCCCCGTGCTTCTAGCCACTTTCATCGGGAAACATGTTGCCCTCCTCCTTCAGAAATGAAATTATAATCGCCCACTGATAGAGAAGCACGTTGTAGAACAGGGGGCAATCTGGCGATGCTGTCACCCAGAGCGTTAGCGCAGACGCGGAGAGCTTCGCACGGGTCAAGCACGGGCACACTCATAATCGGTTGATTACCTTCCACGCCTAAGAGAGCATCGAGGAGCAGTCTCCCTTCCTGGACAGCATGATGGGTCATCGTGTGCAGCCAGCTTGCAATATCAGCAGACAGGAACATGGCCAGGCAACCATCACGCACATGATCCTCAAATAGCCCATCCAAGACAAGTTCCGCACATTTCTTTGTTTAAGCAAATACTGTCAGCAACGCTGTCGTGGGTCTCCTGCGCGCGCTGCTATGCTTCCGACACAGCCCCAAGAACATCCGATACCTCCGGGCAGCCTTGCCCTGACGACGAGCTCTGACAGCACTGGCAAGACCACGGGCGTCCCACGAAGCAGCTGAGAGCGAGGGAGAGGGATGAAAAGGCTGGTGGCGCACTGCACAGTGGCCACAAGGATAGGAAGAGGGTTGAGACGGTTTCGCCACAGTTGGCGAGCTGCTACTCCCACTGGTAAATGAGAAAAGGATGAAGGGAAAGAAGACCAACAGGAGGGACAATTCGAACGTGATGAATTCGAAACTGAAGTGGCACACGATGGTTGGGCGTGTCCCAGGGCCTGCCAAGAAAATGCCCAGGTAGTTGACGAGCGCACTGCGCGTCGTGGACAGCACGGTGTTGACGAACATGGTCGCGTAATCCGTCGTTCGCGGCACGACATGATCCACTGCTGCATGATCACGCACGTGACGCCGAAGGAACGAAAGTCAGGATGATTCGGATTCGTGAGGAGCCAGCCTACCAAGCCGACCTCGCCCTGGGCTAAGATGAAGATGTCGTCTGGCACGCGAATAAAGAGATTGTGTCTGAATCCATTGGAGTCGATCTTGCACTCGGAGCTGTGCAGATTCTTTCTTTCATTGAGGTGCTGCGCCACAGAAGCCCACATACGAGACATGAGGCGCTGCCGCTGTCGTGCGTTGCCATGTGGGATGCCGAGACATGAGACCTGTGCGAACGCGAAGAGGATGTGAAGAGCTGTGTGGCGATATGTCCACCATGTCCATTGACGTGGCCGTCAATTCACCAGTCCTTGAGCTTCTTGGCTGCATCGTCGCTTGCGATGTGGGCGGGAGAACTCGGGCCGGTCTTTGCGAAATTAGTGTTCACGCCTGCCGTGAGCAGAGAAGCTGATTGCAATAGCTGCTGTAACGTCCGTTGGCGCGTTCTGGCCCAAACTGCCCGAGCAAATCCAGAGATCCACAAGCGAGATAGGGCCACTATCGTCATCAACAGCCCATGACCTCGACAGCCTAAGCGTCCTCGATCCTAGACTTGCCGACCCCGCAACTGAAACGGCATCTTCGGGGCTCGCTTCAACTACCGGCCTGTGTTGCTTCCAATCTCGCGAACTTGACCTCAAAGCAGCCTGGAGAAGGTCCGGCTGAGCGATTTGACGGACCGGAGCCTTACTGGACTCATCCGCCCAGAACGCATCTGGGGAACTGGCCAGCCTTGAAGGTTGCGAGCCACGGGGGCGCCTCGGCAACCACCGCACGTCTTCATGTGGGAGAGCAGAGGGTGCGATGGCGTCCGAAGGTGGGCCTTCGAGAGACCAAAGAAGACCTGGTCCCTGGACACTCGGGCCGTCCCCCCACGCTCCAAAGATCGACGAGATCGAGGGAGGAGCGACCGGCGAGGAGGGGGAGGAGGAGGAGGAGGAGGAGGAGGAGGAGGAGGAGGAGGAGGAGGAGGAGGAGGAGCAGGAGGAGGAGGAGGAGGAGCAGGAGGGGGAGGGGGAGGAGGAGCAGCGTCCAAGATCGAAGCGTCCTGACCACGCCTCGAACTCGAGCAAAAACGGCTACAGACCATGGGAGACATATGGTCATCTGACAGCGCCGCTTCGTCGTCACCGATCGCACGTCATCCCTGCTCGCCCTGCACAGGAGTTATCCATCTCCTCCTCGTGCTGTCACTCGCCCATCCCATCTTAGCATACCCATCCGATCGTAACACTCAAACTCCCTGTGTCTCATCCTCATATTCGGCGTAATCGCTGTTCTGATAGCCTCCCTGCGTTTGGTTTCGGCCCGCGTCGGTGATACAAGTCTCATCGGGCGCTCAATGCATACCTTCCCCTGTGTATCTCGCACAAGGGACACCATGTCCTTCGACACGATCAGCCGTCTTGGGTGAGCTCGTTGGTATTGCAATTTGTTGAAGATGGGTTGGGTACGTCCTTCGGTAATTCTGTAAATGCGTGTGCGCCTAACCTCCAGATCAAACGCATCTCACGCTCTGTGACAGGTCCAACAATACGATCCATACATACATATATGTATCTATAAATTGATGCAAACGCAAACATATATACCTATATATATATATATATTACGGGGAATTCGCTCGCTTGGATGCCGCGCTTGATTGTTTGTGCGATCTTGGTCATTGACCTAAACGTTGCGGGTCTGTTTCCTGACCTGTGGTCCAGGCCTTCTCCCACTCAGTCCAGCATCCGTCCAGGGCACCTACTCACTGCCCCTCGCTCTCACTCACATCGTCGCTGCCCCTGTCTCAGGTACTCTTCCCTCACAATCCCCTCTCTGCCTTCTTCTTCGTGAAGAAGTTGACTTCGAGGGCATTCAGGTTGAGCTTTACCCTCTTCAGAGACTTCGTGGCAGTCATGGCGTCTCCGTCTGAGGTTGCCTGCGAACGCACCGGGGCGGGCCGCGGCATTTATGATCCCAGGTCGAGGGTTCACAAGCACCCCCCTGGATGGCACGGGTCCCAGGATTCCTCAGGCCCCCTCCCCATCCTCAGATGGGATGAAGGGGACGACGACGACGACGACGATAACGCCGACGACGACAATGAAGACGACGACGAAGGACGACGTCGACGACAATGACGCTGATTTTGACGCTGACGCTGACGACGACGAAGACGACGACAGAAGACGATGTCGACGACGATGACGCTGATGCTGACGTTTTGACGCTGACGACGACGCCGACGACGACGACGACCACCACCACCACCACCACCACCACCACCACCACCACCACCACCACCACCACCACCCTCCACCACGCCACGACCACAAGGCCACGACCACAGGGGCAGGGATCCCATTCGCGAGGCCTTCGCGAGGCTCACGGGGGAGGGGGGGAGGGCGAAGCCGTTAGCATTGGAGGGAGGAGTGGAGCCAGAGCCCTGGATCATAATCTATGCATACATATGTATATACAGCTATATACATATATATGAATCTAGATGTCGACCACTCGCAATTCCCCCCCCCAATCAGCCCCTCCTTCTGCCCCTCACCCTGCCTCCGTTCTCCGTCGCTCCCCTTCGCCGCCCTCATCCTGCGGGCTCAATCTGGCATGTCCCTCTGCAGGGTGTACACACCTATGGAGTATGCCTCCCCACCGCCAGCAAAGTGGGTGATGCATCAGCGCCCCTGCGCGGGCAGTGGGCAGGTCCTCTCCTTGAGACGAGCAGACCCCCTGAAGACATGATCAATCACATCGGGAAGCAGGTGAGGATGGGACGGAGGGAGGAGGGGGTGGACGGGGAGGAAGGGGAGAAGAAATGATGAGGGAAGCATCATTGGACGAGCGCGTTCCACTACTCGCAAAGGTTAACTGCTCGCAAATGGCCTGGATCCCCCGCGGGGGATCTACGAGACATTACATCGAAGCAGACATGTGCTTTTTGGGCGTTTGCGAGTAGGCACTTTGCGAGTAATGGAACGCGTTCGGTGATTCATTCGCTCACCACTTCGGTGGGAAGCTCTGCGGCCGGCCCGCCCCCACGCACGCGGCCTCCGAGCCACGGGCCGGGTTCACGCCTGCCTCAGGACCCCGATGGTGGCCCCCGGGCCTCCCCCCGCTGTGCTGCGACTGCCCAATATGATATGGCCCACCGAGCCTCCGAGCCATGGGCTGGGTTCACGATTGCCTCAGGACCCCGATCATGGCCCCAGAACCTCCCCGACACTGCTACGACTGCCTGAGATGGCCCAGCGATTCTACACGGGCCTCCAGCAGGTGCTAGGGAGCTCACCAAGGCCGTCAGTAACCACTGCAGGAGGCCCCTGGGAGGAACGAACCACGACACGACGCACTGTTGTCCTCCCACACGCGCAAGCATTCCGTTTTCGCGTCGCTGGCCTTGAAAGCTGCAGATGGCCTCTGGCTTGCTTCCCTGATTCCCTAGTGGCTCCCTGATTCTCGATGGGCCCCAAGAGGCCCCCAAGAGGCAGCGCGTTCGTCATGCAACAACGCCACGGCTGCGCTACGCGACCGAGCTGCTGCAGTCTGCGGAGCTCGTTCCCGCAAGCTCAACCCCTGCCCACAAAACTTGATTCGCGTGGGTGTTCCCTTATGAACTCGACGTGATGTCCAGACCATGCGTCGAGTTTGGGCAACACTCACATCACATGTCGACTGGTGCACGTGTCGAAATAGAATGCCGACCCTGGCGTGCCCACCAGTGGCGCAAACCAATACGCCAGAGGCACAACGGACAATCTCATGCGCACAACGCTGGCGAACGCTACAATCCGGCGACGTTGCCGCGAGCCAAATCCAGGCCCCTAACCGCGGTGGCGAAGATGGAACGCAATGCACACCCTTTCTCGTCTACAACAATGCCCACCCGACACTCCCCCCCGCATCGTCTCCAATCTCCGCCATCTTCCAGACATGCGCCCTGAAGCTAAGGAACCATGTCTGGCCACGCCTCGTGCTGGACCCAACCGTGCCGAATAACCTTGCCATTGGGTCGGCCATGTCCCCCTACAGGCGGCTTTTGGGCGAAACATTAAAACTTCTCAAAAACATCTTCCACAACGCTTAACAGTAAAATTATAGTCTACAGGCTTGTTTAAAATACTATTTTTGAGTATTCCTCCTGTAGAGGGACAGGCCCGACTTAACCTTGCCAACATGTTCAGATCGCAATGCTCCGCACGGCTGCGCCGCGCTCCGGGGCTGACACGGCCACAAGCAGAGCGTCCGAGGCGGCGCTCGCGCTCTGGTCTGGCAGATTGGCGCCCCGCGCTGCCTTGTCCTCCAGCAGCTTTGCGAAGATGGAGGTGGCGAAGCGGTTGCCTCGGTGCACCAACGGATAAGCAATAAAAGTACCCCTAATCCTTTGGGTGGGGACCTACGTTGGGAGGGCCGAAAACATGAAGGATGGGGGAGCCTGTTCTTCAGATGTGTCGGACCGAATCGCCCATGAGCATTCTATCCCTGATGAGACGAAGACGGGGACCTCAGTGAGGCCACGTCTTCATCGTGTGATTTGGGTAGGGACTCTTCTGCTCTCGATGCACCATCGGTCCCCTCGAGGATGCCCCTCCTCCTCCCCCATGGGGTCGGGGCGCGGCAGGCATGCGGGGCCGCTCCGAGCCACGGAGGCGCAGGGCAGGGTGGCGCGCACGCGCGCACCGCGGCGGAGGGCGAGGGCGGAAGCAAGGGACCCTCTCGACCGAAAAGGCCCTCGTCCTTCCCCTCCGCCCCCTCCTCCTCCTCCGCCTCCTCCTCCTCCTCCTCCTCCTCCTCCTCCTCCTCCTCCTCCGCCTCCTCCTCATCCTCCTGGGGGGCAGGACATCCTCCCCTCCCGTTTTTGCCACTTCGATTCTGAGCCGAAGCCGCGAAGACTCGGACCTACTGACTGCAGCAACAAACGATCGTTCCACCCGCTCCGGCCCGCGGCTCCCCCAATTTGGACGCCCGAAATGGGTACGGAGAAAATGGGTACAATGCCCAACAACAAATGTTGTCCCAAACCATCAGCGGCCGCTGTTGGGCAGGCGGCCTTCTGTCTCAAATGGACACAGGACATCCCCCCCACGCAATAATCACCCCGACGCGTGGAGCCGTAAAATTAACGCACGCACGCACTAGGAAGGAAGCAGGGCAGGGCTGTTTCGTAGACGCCCAGGGCCGTTCAGCAAACGCCAACTATCGGGTCTGGGTGGTTTTTCCCCCCTTGATCACCCGCCCCCTCCACCACTTCCCACCTCCCGTCCCACCCCCTCTCCCCTCCTCGTTCGACGGATAGGCCCTCCGAGATCATGCAGCCATATCGGGAAGACAGAGCTACCGATGCAATCGTCATGCGTGATGGTATGTACCTTCTGTCTGTGCATCACGCCGATCCTCGCTCCGGCGGGTGTCCGAGACTCGGGACCGCTGCTGCCGACGTCTGTTCCGCGACGCGGGAAGACTGGTATCGCGGGAGGCCCCCTCCAAAGGAGCCCGACGGGTTGCCCACGTGCTACTCGCATATCGCCCATCGCCCAAGAGACGAGGGCCATGTAGGAACGAACAAGTGCACAAGTGAGGATGGCGCCGTTCGCATTGACACGGGTGGCAATCTCCCCTCTAACGAGGTCGGGCCAATGTCGCGGAAGATGGAGAGGACGTGCTGCAAAGGGTACCATGCCAGGAACACTTGTAGGTGTTACTACGTTGGGCTTTGAACTCGCATTCCCTCCCAACACGAAAACTGACATGTGTGGGGTCATCTGGGCGTTGGTGTGGCGAGCGCGTGTTTCATCGTCATGCGCTGCACGCCGACAACTGTCACCCCTGGCAGCGCGATCAACTTCTCTTGCAGTTCAGCCATCGCACGCGCTCTGGCACGGGCCGCTGCGTCTTCGCACCTCGGGCTTGGCACGTTGTGGTCCCATGCGGTGTGTGCCAGATGCCACAGTAACCAGCCTCGAACGTATCCCTCTCCCTAAGATGGGCGAGCAAAAAGCGAGGACAATCTGAGGGACAGGCCCTCAAAAACTGAGGGGATCCTTAAGATCGGCATCGAGGTGAGGTGATGTCAAACATAGGGACAGGGATATGCTCCAGGCTGGTAATACAGGGAACGAAACCTGGGCTTCAGAGTCGAGGGCCACGCAAAGTGGGCTCGATAGAGGCCGCTGCCCCGCTGCACATGCGCCCGCTGCCGTGATCGCTCACAGCGGAGCAAAATTCTGACACATTTGCCCCCTTTCCGTGCGCTCCGGCCAGAGGCTGCACTGTGTTCCAGCCAAGGATCTGGCAAGTCTCGTCGACCCCAGAGTCCAGAGCTTCTCCTTGGGGACGATGCCCAGCCTCTTGGACGTTTCGGAAATCGGCGCCCGTTTGCGGGCTGAACCGAAGGGCCCCATCGTGGCGATCGGGGGTGATGATGGTTCTGTTGTTAGTGGGCCCCGGAAACGGCAGGGCCGTTTCTTCCCCGTTTCCGAAAATGTGTCCCTTGCAGATGGAAACGGCAAAAAAACGGCGACCGGAAACGGCAAAAAAACGGCTCCAAGATTGGACCTGGAGCCGGAACCGGTCAAACAACGGCGACGGAACTGGTAAAAAAACGGCGTCGGAACCGGCACAAAAACGGCAAAACGGAACCGGTAAAAAAACGGCCCTGTCGTTTCCAGGGCCCACTAAGGTCCCGTCGTTCCCATGGTCATTCGATGGTGGGGTTGCACGACGGCGGAGGATGGCGCTCATGGGACCTGCTCTGCAATGCGCTGAGGACGAGGAAAAAGACCGCGTGGCATGGCCACTGAATCGGAAATTGTCCAAATTCTTGGGGTGAGGCATCACCTCCGCCGTACTCCCGTGGAGGCTGTTCTCTTGTCAGAATCCATGTCCAAACCCTTGGGTCGTCATAGCACCAATCGGCCCCTCGAGCCGCAACGGTACTCTTTCACACAAGATCCGGCGCGTAACACCAACCAAACGCAAGAAAACAAGCAGGCACCTTTCCGGATCGTGGCTCGGGCTTGGGCCTGGGCGAGATGCGCGGGATCTCCGCAGGTAGTTACCAACAAAACGCGGCCGATGGAACATGCCACTGGGATCATGGACCCCCGAAGCTGTTCAGGGCCATTTGAACGTCTGATACGTCACGCGGCAAACTTACCATGCGACGTACCCAACCCACCTGCAGCAAATGACAAGACGAGGTGGTGAAATTATGGCTGGTGACGACACATGGTGCGCCATTGGATGTGCAGTCGAATGTCACCTTGTGGGTAACACATCCGTGGGGGGCGTGAACTATTATATGTATGCCTATGAAACCATACAAATATAAACAAGCGCGGCAACTATCATAAACAAACCCCATTTTTGGCCGGGCTCATCGTAGGGGGGGCGCCCGCCAAATTGAAACGCACGGCGGCGGCGCTGGTGATTAGAGCCGACACCAAGACGACACCAGGAGCGCGACGCAAGCGGCGCCGCTCCAGCGGGGGGGAAAACCAGCGCATCCGATATAGCGGGGCGGTTGGGCCACACGGGCTACAGACAGAAAAAGGAACAAGGAGGCGGGAGAGATAGGCGCCGGCCGGCGGGCGGTGCCGACATGACTACACACAAAAAGAAGGGGAGGAACGGAAAAGGCAGGCGGAAAGGGTTCCTCCGTTTCATTTTCTTTCCCTCCCCCCCTTCCACTACAAGCCCTAAGACGATGACGACGGCGTCGACGACGACGACGACGACGGCCACGCCGACGGCGACGGCGCCGGCGGACGACAACGCAGTGCGGATGTTTCGTTAGGGGGGGGGGTGTTGCTGCGTGCGCTCGCCGTATTAGTCGACAACGGAGGCGACGACAACGACGACTGCGGACGACGACGACGCACTGCGGATGGCCCGGCAGCAAGGGGGTGCTGCAACCGACGACAATGACGATGACGACGGCGACGGCGACGCACGCCGGATGAGGCTGTAGGGGGTGCTGCTGCTTAGGCACGATGTCGTCGTCGACGACGGCGACGCGCAGGCGTGATGTATTCGGCGACGACGGCGACGCCGGCGAAGACGATGACGAGGAGGACGAGGACGAGGGCGACGGACGGCCAGGGCGACAACGACGGCGACGCACTGCGGATGCCCTATGGACGGGGGGGGCTGTAGTGGCTGTATTCGCCGACGGCGACGACCGACGACGACGACAGACGACGACGTCGACAACGCGACGACGACGGCGGCGACGCGACGACGACGGAAGCGACGACGACGCACTGCGGATGCCGCACGGGGGGGGGCTGCATATGCAGTCGACGACGACGACGACGACGACGATACCGGAGAGGGGGGGAAAATCTGCCTCGGATGTAGACGGCCCCTTACATAAATTTCTATACGACACGCAAGCGTTTCCAGGTTGTCATTCAGGGGGTGCACGATCCTCTCGGCGGCGCCCGCGACGGCCACCTGGCGCGCGTGATTCAAACAAATGTTTCGCGCCCCGCGGGGTCTGTTCATCAGCGCAACGGGTGGGCATCATTTGTTCACCACAAGCTGACATTCCATTTGAAGCGCGCGATGCAATACTCACAGGGCAGCAACAGAAGGACGAGGACGGATGCCCCAGGCTCAAAGGGGAAATGGGGGTAGGAACGAACGGGGGGAAACGCGACAACTTACCGCGACAACAGCAGTGAGACGGTGGAAGGAGGACGAGGCCGACAACGAAAGAGGCAGGACGAGAAAGGAGGGTGGCGATCAATTTCCAATGGCACGCTGGACAAGAAGCGTGGCCCGCGCCATGTCGCTCCAGGGGTTCATGGCCAGTGCAAGCAGCGAGCGAAACCGAGCACGCCCACCTTGCAGCGCGGGGGATAAACGCCCGCAGGCGCGCCGCCTGGTCTTCGGGTGGCCCGCGGAAAAGGAATTCATCGCGAATGCGAGTCAGCGTGGGTGGTCGCTCTGCTGGACCCCCCAGAAGCACTCGGCGCAACGATTTCGCAGATCGCAGCCCCCTGGCATGGGGGGGTCTCACCTGGGTCGGCGCAAGGCACCGTCCTGCTGGACCCCCCAGAGGCACTCGAAAGTGTGATATCGGTGGCCACAGAGGGGGTGGATTTGTTTCTTAGCAATGTAGCGCCCCAGCGAGCATGAATCACATGCGCCCGCCCATGGCGGGCCTAAATAAAGCCTAAAACGCTATGACAGACACATAGAGGGGGGAGAGAAGAGGGCAGAGAGGACAACGGGATTACTCTCAGTGGGTCTGGCATAGCCAAGTTTATGTTCTCCGCCGCTTCAGAGAGAGAAAATCAGGTTAAAAACCACTAACCTGTCTTAAACATGTCTTAAAC